CCCACAACAGAGCAGATAAAAGGGAAGAAATGCCTCTCTGGCTTTTCCTCTTAATGTCTCATTTACGTTTCCTTCCGGCAACAAAAGATTCACAAAAGCTTTTTTCTAGTTTTGTTCTGTAGACACTGAATATAAAGGACATCTGGCACATACAGTAGTGGTGGTAGGCAGAGGTGCCGTTTTGAGAAGCTAGAACTTGATTCCTTCTTCCTTTATTATCATTTATTGTGGTTTATACTTTTGTTTAAAGTCAGTGCATGTGTTCTCCCCTTTCTTCTGTTTAATCACCTTCTTCTTCTGTTTTTCTTGTTCTGCAGGAGATCAGTCAGATTTGGGTTATAACTCGCTGTCCAAAGAGGAGGTTCGGAGAGGAGACCCCAGTGCCCAGGACGCTGCCCCTGACAAGGATGAAAAGAAGGAGAGCGACTGCAGCTCCTGTCAGTAGTTCCTCTGATCAGATATCACCTGATCTTTATGTTGACTGTACCCTCTAAATGAAAAATGATAACTTGGCAGACTTGTAGCCACACAGGATTTCCCCTTCCTCTGCCTTGATCTTCCCGTCTCCTCCAGAGACGATTCATCTCTCTTGGTTTCTCATGCACATCAAAGCATTTCAATCACGTGTTTTCCCTCCAAGGATTTTTTGAAAGAACGATATCATGTTAAAAGCTGTGCATGTTGTCAAAAAGGACGATTTTGAAATTGTAATTTTTTTTGTTTGTAGTATCTGAGACGGAGAGCGCCAAAGGAAGTAAAGACTGCCTCCCTCAGCTGGACGTGGAGGTTCACTCCTCTTTCAAACCGCGGGGCATCGTTCGCAGCAGCTGTGCATTTGACGACTCGTCCTGTAAACCCAAGAGCTCTGTCAGCACAGGTACACAAGGAAATATAAGAAGAGTTAATAGCTTTGCGATGTGGGAGAGAGATGCTGGTACAGGTTAACGAGATATTTTGAATTCAGTTTTACAAATAAAAGCCCTTAAAAAGTATTAAATTGTCTTAAATTCAGATTGGATGGGTTGTTTTAGGCGCATTGCCAAAGGTCGCTGAAAATCCCTTATGAAGCAAACTGTCTTTTTAATTCAGGACGATGCTGAAGTCTCAGACATGAATGTGTTTACTTGAAACAAGAATGACTGATAGAGAGATAGTGGCGGAATCATTTACATATGTGTGACCAGGCTACACAGAGAGAGACAAAAATTCGATCTATAACTTCAAACAAGAGGGATACGTTTCAAAAATGGTACGAGCACCATCTGTTCAACTTTTAGGAACATGTTATTTCTTTTTCTTCTCCGCGTCATTTAACTGATAGGCGCCACAAACTTCTAGTCAGAACTCTCAGCATTTTAAAAGAAATGTCTCTAACACCCTCCCACCCCCTCTCTCAGGCCATGTCGCAGGTCTCCTCTTCACGTCCTCCCTGGATGAGATCGGCGAGGTCCGGACCAACAGTTTGCTCAGGAGACACAGGAGCGCTCTGGAAGAGGTGGTTGGCAGTGCCAGCAGCGGCTCGGCTCTGGAGTGGCAGGGGGTCAGGGGTAGCTGTCTGAGTGGAGACACAGTGGGCAGCAGTGGCAGCGGCACCACCGTCCTCGGCCTGGGCATGAGCCAAGGTGAAACAGACCCAGACAAGATCGCAGGTCACCTGGGCGCCGATGCCAAAATCCTCTCCGGTGCCAACTTCAGTCAGAGTAAGAGGCCGCGTTCGCTGGCTTTTGGTGGATCAGAGGGCGCTGCTGCTAAGACTGGCGCCGCCAGACGTCTGGATCACAGGGAGGAGGAAGAGGAGATGGAGGGACAGGACTCCAGTGATGAGGACAGAAGTAACACAGAGGCCATCTTTGATTTGGAGGATCTGGATTTAGACAAGCCTGCGACCGGGCCTGGCGTCAACACTCATCAAACCCACAGACATAAGAAACTCGTGGAACGCAGCGCCAGCTACGGTGCCATGAGCCCCGGGACGTCCAGAGGAGCCGTCAAACGCACAGGTATTGAGATGGGCTACGACCCTCTGTCGCTGCTGGCGGCAGAGTCCCAGTCCAAGCAGCAGGATGAGGATCAGTACCCAGAAGGTGATGAGGCGAGCACGCCAAGCTCCGGCAGGCACCTGGCCAGGGAGATAGAGCTCTACATGAACCACATGGGCAGCCCAATGACCAGCCGCACACCCAGTCTGGACCTGCAGGACCCAGTCAGCCCCCTCCTCCTCCATCCCTCTTCAATCTCTGGCCCCCGCAGAGCCAGCCTGCCCCACAGCTCCTCCCTCAGGACAACTGGAGTACCACGCTCTCGCACATACCACCCGCCCTCGCCCTCCCAGCCCATCTCACGCCAACGTCTGTGGTCGTCGCCCCCACGTCGCAGCTCGAGCACCACCCCCAGCCCCAGCCCTCGACCCAGCCCCTACAAAGACAGGGCGGACAGGATGAGCCTGGCGACACCTTCACCGTCCTCCTCCTCCTTCGCTCTTGACACTCTGCTCACACCAACGCTGGATGTATTCAAAACCAGTGTGGTCTCTGCTGGGAAGGGGGTGGCAGAGAAGGCGAGCCGCTGGTACTCTCGTCTGGCCACCTACACCACACCGACCAAGGTGCAGAGTCTTGACCGCTAATATAGATTGTTGAGCTGGATTATTTGTGCTGACATCTTGATAAATCTTGTTCGTCGATTTTGACTTTGACTGATCATCTGTCTATATATATATATATATAGATAGATAGTGACCTAATTTTAAAGCTGTATAACGTATATTATAATCCAAAAATGCCACATTTTCATCTAAAAAATATTCAGCAATGCAAAGCAAACTTACCTAAATAAGATAAAACCTGCATAAACACTTCTGAGATTGTACTTTTGCACTGTTGCAAATACACGTCAGTGGTTTACAACATTAAGCTCATATAAGAAGTAGTGGAAGACTTCAGTTTGACTGCTGCTGCCATCTTGTGGCTATGTTGATAGAATTCACGTGCAAGATAAGATAAAATATTCCTTTATTTGTGAGGAAATGTGCAAAATTACACTTAAAATTCAATTAAATACAATTCCTGGATCCACCCCTTTGTTCAAAGCCAGGCCAACATTTTAAATCATATCCCAATGCAAATTTTTTCCACATATTTTGTAATCCTGTTAACAAACGAACAAACAGACAAAAGATAACCTCCAGCAGGTAATATGTGTTTCAGATGCTTTTTTATTTAGTTTGCTCTAGTGATGTTCCTGATCCGTCAGATAATATATATTTCACTTGCACCACACTCACGTCTATTACCTTGATCAACAGCAATACAGTGAGATCTGAACCTGTCCAGGGTCTGTCACATGACATCTCTTTTAGAATATATAGAATTTTATTTGTAGTCCTTACTGAACTTGATCTGCTGTTGCTGTGAGCATCATGAATATATATATAATACGACATTAACTTGTCGGCTCTCCTCCTTTTGTCCAGGACGGTCACAGTGACCGTCTGAGTGTTGGGGATCCAGACGGCTCCTCCCTGCTGGATGAGGAAGACTGTGGGGCGTCGGAGCACTCTGTGGTTTCTCCACAGAGGAACGGCCCCATTGGTCCCTCAGGACCCCGCAGGAGCCCCCGACGCAGTCCCCTCCGCAGCAGACTGGACAGCCCCTCTGCAGGTTCCTGCCATATGAGACCCACGTCTCTGCTGCCCGGTGAGAAAGACTTGATTGATGCAACAGAAGTTAGTTTCTAATGTGATCAAAATCGTGATTGAGCTGAAATACATTTTATTTACCAAATATTTGAAAAATAAAACATCGAACAGTAAGAAAAATTGAATTATATCTGTATGAATTCATTTATACAGTCCTGTTAATGGATTCATCTTATAAAACAAATAAATATAACAAATTGTTTGAGTAAATAATGTCACACATTCTGATCATTCCTCTCGTCATCCTCCTGCAGGATGCGTCCTCTCGCCCCCGGGCTTCCCTCTGCCGGACAAGTCGGACGCCAGCTCCTCACACTACACCAGCAACACCAGCATCTTCAACAACTACGCCATGGAGGTAAATCAAACTACAAAATGAAAAGAAGAAAAGTAGAATTTAGCGACTGGGACTTAGCCGTGGACTGGTGTTAAAACACAACGTTAAATGAAGCGATGTTAGGATCACAAATTAATCCACAGCCTGTAACCAATCAGAAATATTCATCACATGATAAATTAAGAAAGTCTAAAACTTTCCCAGTAACCACTGTTAACTGAGCGTCTGTTTGTGTGTGTCTCTGTTTCCAGCTGCTGATCTCCAGCTGTTCCCGCTGTAAGACGTGCGACTGTCTGGTGTACGACGAGGAGATCATGGCCGGCTGGACGGCGGACGACTCCAACCTGAACACCACCTGCCCCTTCTGTGGAAACCCCTTCCTGCCTTTTCTCAATGTGGAGATCAGAGACATGAGAGGACCCGGCAGGTAGACGATAACATTACTGCACTGCTGTAAAAATAAAAATACTTTGATATTATATAACTAAGGGTTATGAATTAACTCTCTTTTTGAAAAAGACATTCTGATTTGACTCGTCAGGGTGAAAGTGTAACGCCTCCTTCTTCTCTCCTCAGACTTTTCCTGAAGGGCAGTCCATCAGTGGACGAGGCAATGACATCATCGTACTCCGCCTCAACGGGTTTCGACACAGGGACGTCCACCTTGTCCACACCCTGTCCCGCAACAGCTGTCTCCCCTCCCTCCCCCGTGATAGCTGTCCAGGAGTGTTCTGGAGACGGAAGGTACTCACTGTCATTCAGTGTGATTCACTGTGATTCACACGTTCTTCCTTTATCTACTCTTCATGCAGAGCTTATGTAATCACCTGAGGTTCAATCAGAGGAAAACACAGTCGTTAAGTTAGTTCTATTGAAAAGTTGTATTCACCTGGGTGTCTCTGTATCTGTCTGATAAACAACATCATCACCCTCTTTCATTCACAGTTTTACAAACTTACACCTTTTCCTCATTACTCAAGCTGCAGCTTCTTGTGACTTGTTAAATGTTGTTGTTGCTGAGTTGTCTGTTGGTCTCACACACTGGCCTGTCCTCGCTGTGTCCTCCCAGGACCAGAGCAATCGGGCCTCAAGGTATCAACATCCCCTCAGTGGGCCGGCAGGGGGTGCCGTCCCCTGGAGCGGCCATGGCCCGTAGCGTCAGCGCCTTTAATCCTCTGGAGGAAGCATCCCGACCCAACCGCTGTGTGCCGACGTCAGGCAGCCTGCCCAGCCGTCTCAATGAAACATCAGTACGTGTCAACACAAATCACAAACTACTGATGTCAGAGTATTTCACTCATTTAGAAACATTCAGTAGTTTTACTCTGGTTCCTTTTCCTCCACAATCTGCCTCACACACAATTTTTGTAATCTTTCAGGATCCGCTGAACATGGAGTGGCGGCTCCACAACCCTGAGCCAGTGACCGTTCCCTACCTGAGTCCGCTGGTGCTGTGGAAGGAGCTGGAGAGTCTGCTGGAGAACGAGGGCGACCCGGTGATCACGGAGGCCGACATGGTGGACCATCATCCCATCATCTACTGGAACCTGGTGTGGTACTTCAGACGGCTCGACCTGCCCAGCAACCTGCCCGGACTCATTCTCACGTCTGAGCACTGCAACAGAGACTCTCAGGTCAGACGCACAAACAGAAACACACAAGTAGTCCACAGTGATGACATGTTTAACCTCATAGTGTTGTGTGTTGCTGCTCTCTGGATTGTGTGATGGGTTTTGAGGGACACAACAAACACAACTCTCCGACTCACAGTGCGTCTCTGTCTCTGTTGTCAGGTTCCTCGTCACTGGATGTCGGAGGACAGTAAACACGTGTTGATCCAGATCCTGTGGGACAACCTGAAGCTGCACCAGGACCCCATCCAGCCCCTCTACATCGTCTGGAACACCTTCAGTGAGTCTCAGTGTTCCTGCTCGCTTTGTGTCCGCAGAACAGAGTTTAAAGAATCATCCGGTGATTTCAATTTTGATTTATTCATGACAATAACCTGCCAGCAGCTGGATTTGTGATCAGTGAATGAACTGACTGTTGCTCAGTCTGTAGCACTCGATGGTTTGATGAGAAGGAGGCGTGGAGGCAGCCAGCTCCTCCTGGGAGTCGGCTAATCCTCGTGCTAACAGGCTCTGTCTGCTCTCTGTCTTCCAGGGCTTAATTGTACTCTGTTGTTAGAGAGTGAGTGTTCACCTCTGCTGCACACACACAGATGAGTCCTGGTGTTTGTCCTGTCTCAGGCCTGCTGTCTCTCTGTGCCGTGTGTGTTCTCTGCTTGATGCTTCGTTGCAGTGTTGTTTGGGGAATTCGACCTCTTCTTGTCACAGTGTTTGGAATGAAAGTTTCTCTTTTTCTGATGATGTCGACTCGGGGTTGTTTCTGTTGTTGTTGTTGTTGATCAAATACAGTCCTGATCTGTATTTGAATGTTGGTTTGCATCTCTGGTGAATGTCCACTTTGTCCTTCCACTTGTTAACATGGACATTAAAACAGTTCTAAACAAATAGCTAATGGCAGCGACTTCCTGGAAATCACTTTCTCACACAGGTCGGACAAATTAATTATTTGAAGTCAACTTGTTTTCATTTCCTACTTTGATTCGAGCATAAAAATCAAAATTATAGAAAAACCAACCAGTGTTTGTTTTTTGTATCAGATTGATAAACTAATCCACATTTTTTCATTTTCTGTTTTTTGCTCTACGGTGAAGTGAAATCCTCAGATAAAAATCAAACCATCCTCATTTGTTTAACTGTCGTACTGTCTTGTCTGTGAGCGCTAATATGATGAGTCTGAACTCTGTGTGTGTGTGTGTGTGTGTTTTGGTAGATGTTGGTTACCCTCTGTCCCGGCCGGTCCCGGAGGAGGAGAAGCCGTTCAGCGAGGAGTTGCTGCAGAGCGTGGTGAAGAGCATCCAGAGGAACGACATCAGCCGGCCAATGGCTCAGCTGCTGCAGCTGCTGGGTCAGACGCTCGGGGTCAAAAGG